TACAGTTTTGTAAGAAATCGTCAATAGTGATATGAGAACTAACTGTGTTATTTCATTAAGAAACTAATGTAATGTTATAAAGCAGCTAATTCATAATTGTAGAACTGACTACATATTCTTTTATCAATGTAGTAGCTTGTTTGAGGCCAGGAAAGACACAGTGTCTTATTCCTGGCTAAATTGGGATTCATCACCATCATCAAGTGCCTTGCCAGCTGATGTAGGCCTTCACGCATCTTCACAGATCTCGGTCTTTGGTGTTCTGGATCAATTTCATTGATGATATATCTCCATGTCACTGTCTCAAGCCATCCACCATCGTTTCTCTTGGTCTGCCTCTTCTACCAGTGATCTTTCCAGTCGCCATAATATTTTCCAGTGCTCCTTTTTCTCATCATACGACCAAAGAACTTTGTTTATCTTCTTCCAATTGTTGTTTACTGATTGTTGCAATAAAAAAGGAAATGCACATAAACTGGGACTGTGCTCAGAAAATGATAAATGAAATACTGCTGTTGGCCATTGATGAATGAAAGATTACTTGTGCCACATGATGATATGAAGACTGTGTCATAGTGCATATGACTGCTGCTATTTCCACAGATAGTCACCCCTGGTCTGTTAACAAATTTCACGCACACAAACTTCAGCCACAGAAAAAGAAAAAACTTAATAAAATCCTATTTAAGAAAAACCAAAATAAAAAATCAGAAAAACAAAAACAAATACAATGCCGTATAACAGATCAAACTTTTAATTAATACTCAGTAATCTGCCCTTCATGAATTAATACTCAGTAATCTGCCCTTCATGGCCCAACCATGCAATGGTAGAGAGGCTTATGTACGCTACCAATTACCACAGTCTGGTGAGATTGATGCAGGGGGGAGTGACAAGAGGTTCTGGCAGATGCTCGAGGCTCAGAGGAAAGGCAAGAGAGGCGTTTAATCAGAATGCTACTGGCAACATTAGTATCGAACTCTTCGATGGCTGCTGAAGATGGGGTCAGAGCGCTTATGAGAATGCCCCGAGTGCTGTGATGTCAGTTCTTGAATCAAATCATGTGAGCTACCAATACCAGAACTATGCTGGCAGTGGGTCTGATACAGACAATTATAATGATATTTGACAGAAACAGCTCACAAACCAAGTGGACAGCAGGACATCAAGGCTATCTTAGAGAATGAGCCTACAAAGTCAGAGAAAGGCATCTGTGGGATGAACTACTGTGGTATCTCTGTATTTGTTCTTAATCCGTTCTTTATCCTTGGATGTATATCAAACTACGTATAACAGATACTTGTCATACAATGTCACATAGACAATATCATTCGTCTTCTTCTGCGTTTATCCAAAGATGTAATTGCGTTGTGTCGGTTTACAGCATGGCTGCGATATTTGCACCTTTCGGCCAACATTTCAGCCTTCTGCGGTCATTTGTTGACCGGGTTAGCCTTCCCGGCAATGTCATACTTAGAGCTAGGAAAGATCTGATAGCATTCAAGATGCTAGCAGTAGCTGATACTGAACAACGCATACTTTTCCTTCTCTATCAAGATTTTGCGTTAGCGTCAGACTATGGTCTTGGCCTCCTCACTGTCAGCAGAACCCAGCAAGAAAGACTGGACCGAGGAAATGCACACAAGCCTAGACACCAGTGTGACTGTTAAATTAAACATTAGCTATAATGGCAATTAAAATTAACCAGTGGTCATGGTTCGGGAGGAGTTAACAGTTGAATGAAAATGAACACACAAATTACAGAAAGGGTTTGTGATTTATAATACAGATATCGTAATATCGTTCTAACTTTATTTTTTTTGTGCCCCAATATGGGACGCAACATTTTTGTTTTGTTATTTTGAAGCCTCACCTTAGCTGTCAGGGCCCTAATATAATCTAATGGTTAGAGGGGGTTTCCTGAACTGGGGCCCGGGTGATTCTCATCTGAATGGTGGCACTTAGTGCCATCACTCATTATGCTGTCCTGGTAGGGGCTGAAAGTCACTCATCACCTAAGAAAACCAACTGGCTTAGTTCCCTGCATTTCCTCTTCTTTCAGAACTTTGAGCAGACTTTTGTTCAGTTCAACACCAACCTTTTGTGCACTCTGTAGAAGACAGAACAATAACATTTTTGTTCAGTACATCATGAAAGACAACAAAAAGGCAGTATTCAGTATTATGATGCTAACAGTTTAAGCATGTAGACTAAATGTTAGTCAAAGTTTACATATTCGCACAAATAAATGGTCAGATGATGAGAGAAAAATGAACTGATTTCCTTTTTGTTGTTTCCTTTGGGTATCTCTCAGATTTTGCTGACTCAGAAACCAGTAAAGCAATGAGTTGAACCAGAGATGTTATTACTTAAGGAGGTCCTTAGAGCAGAAGCTGCTTCTCATAGTCCATGCTACATGGCATTGGCAATCATACTTGTGCCACACCTTCTGTTTTGTGCATTGCCAACAATTTATGAATCAGATATTCTTCTATGCCATGATGCTTCTTCTCTTCTTCTTCTGCCTTTCTATCCCCCAATGGAGCATAGGCCCTCAACCAACTCACGCCAAGTCGTTCTATCCTTCGCCATTACATGGAGCTCTCCCCATGTCCTCCCAATCTTTCTAACCTCATTCTCCAGCTCTCTTCTCCATGTGTTTTTTGGCCTTCCTTTATTCCTATACCCCCGTGGGTTCCAATGCAAAGACATTCTAGTTATGCTGTTCTCCTGATTTCTCAGTGTGTGCCCTATCCAACGCCAGCGTCTTTTCCTCACCTCCTGATCCACTGGAGCCTGTTTAGTTCTCTCCCAAAGTTCTACATTAGTTATTCTATCATACCATTTTATTCCCTCTATTCTGCGCAGGCACCAGTTAATGAATGTCTGTAATTTATTAGTAATTGACTTCGTTGTTCTCCATGTTTCCGCCCCATACAATAGTACTGATTTGACATTAGAATTAAAAATTTTTAGTTTAGTATTTCTTTTAATTTCTTTTGACCTCCACAAATTCCCTAGTGCTATGAAAGCCCCTCTTGCCTTTTGTATTCTTATTTTAATATCTCTATCAGTTCCTCCATCTTTATCTACATTACTGCCCAAATAGGTGTACGACTCCACGTCTTGGAGTGGGGTGCCATTAAGAGAAACCACATTACTATTTGCCTGATTTATTCTCATTATCTTTGTCTTTCCTTTATGGATTTTCAGACCAAGCTGCTGTGATCTCGCATTAAGTATATTTAATTTATCTTGTATCTGATTCCGTGAATGGGACAGAAGGGCAATATCATCAGCGAAGTCCAGATCATCAAGCTGTTTTGTAGGGGTCCACTGAATTCCATTCTTGGTGTTAGCAGTTACTGTTTTCATAGTCCAGTCTATAGCCAGTAAAAATAGGAGAGGCGACAAAACACATCCCTGTCGCACACCTGTTTTTATTTCAAATGCATCTGTTAGCTTTCCCTCATGAAGAACTCGACATTTCATGTCTTTATATGTTGCCTTTACTAAGTTGATAATTTTCTGTGGGATTCCATAGTGCCCCATCAATTTCCAGAGAGATTCCCTATCAATGCTGTCAAATGCTTTTTCATAGTCTATAAATCCAATGTAAAGTGGTGAGTTCAGTTCAATGCTTTGCTCTATTTTAATACGTAATGTGGCTATCTGATCAGAACAGGATCTGTTTGACCGAAAACCTGCCTGCTCATCTCTTAGCATTTTATCAGTAGCATCTTTTAATCTTTCCAAAATAATTCTACTTAATATTTTTCCAGGAACTGACAGCAACATAATTCCTCTATAGTTTTCACACTCCTGTAGATCACCTTTTTTGGGCATTTCACAAGATATCCTTCTCTCCAGTCTGCTGGTATTTCTTCGGTCTCCCAGACTTTACTGAATAATCTATGTAGCAATTCTGTTGATGTGTTTAGAGAGTTCTAACATTCCAGGTGGCAATTCTGGAGGTTTTCCTAGCTGAGAGGAGGTAAGTCAACGATCCGGACTCCTTACGGCTTTCTCCACACCGTGTCATACTTCTTCTATTTGAAGAGCCTCCCCTCATCTTGGTTGGCTGGATTTTATTTGCTTCTCTTTTTGACTTATCCATGGTTGGTTGGTTTTTGTGGCTATGGTTTTTACAGGATGAGGTAGCCAACCTCAAGCCCAACCCTACCCTTGGTCGCCTCTTACGACATGCCTGGTAGGGTGCAGTGTCACTATTCTTTGCTTCCCGTGAGGGCCCCGGTGACACACGGGCGGCCATGATGCTAGCCTGTCAAATATCCCCTTGGTCTCCGTCTGCCCTTTAAACTTTCCTGTTTTCATATGGCACTCCAGCCTTTCCTTTATCATAAATATTCTCATAGAACATAGATTGCCCCCTTTCTTTGTGAGTTAACTGTTTTCAAACATACATTAAAAAAAAAATTTGCCTATGGTGTACTTGTCATTCTACAAAATCATTCTTCTACATAATTTTGTTTTTACTAATCTGCTGACTGCATAGTAACCACCTCCATAGGTTAGGATAAATTTGACCCAAAAAAACACACACACAAAAACTGTGAATCAAGAGATGAGTAAAAGATGCTGGTATTGGATAGAAGACAAATTGAAAACAAAATGTGATGGTAATATAGCTAGAAGAATTTCCTTGCACTGGAAACAACTGGATTCAAGGCAAAGGCAGACCAACAAGTATGTGCAGTGAGCTGTAGCGATGGCAAAAGATATAATGAACTGGTGCTATTTCGTTAGGTGCCAATGGTCCATTGTTTGGAGGAGTAGGGATTAAAGGGAAGAAGAAAAGAAAAAGCAGAAAGACCGGTTCTACTTAGCTCCTAGATCAGACAAGTAGGAAGTAACTGATCAAAGCTCGGTGATGTTTGTGGTTTAGAATCAGTTCAATCTCCTAAATCTAGTGGTGCAGGCAGTATGATTGGAACACATTTATAAGCACAGAATCAGCAGATTATAGCATGTGTACTTACATCAGTCATGTCTGACACACTGTCAATGTCCAAACTTCCAGCTCCTTCTTTCCTCATGGCTGTTATGGTGCCGCTTTCTGTGACACCCAGCAGTATTCTGAAACAACAACAAAATAATTGAATGTTGAATTAAGAATTGACATCACAGCACTCAGGACAACCCTATAAGCGATCCGTCCCCATCTTCAGCACCAAACGAAGAGTTCCAATTCCGATGGCACCAGTAACTGCCTGACTGTATAACTGTCTTGCCTTTCCCTTGAGTGTCGGCCAGATTCCCTGGTAGGTAACTCCTCCCAACGCCATTCTCCACAGACCATAAGGATCTATTTGCGCTTCTGCACTGTTTACTTGCTCCCAGAGGGCCCTCACAACATCTAGCTTGTCATATATCAATTCACCACCAAGTGGTGCAGAACATGCCAGTCTATCTGCCTGCTCATTTCCCAGAAGAAGAAAAAAATGCACTACCAGATCAGCAGATATATCACAGGAACTGCATGTAAGTAAAGTAAATTAAAGGAGCCAGCAAATCATTAGGCGTAGACGCCAGACTCATATTTCTGTAGATCAATCAACACTCGATAGATGATGTAGTCAACACCAAACCGGCCACCTTTACTAGGCATCCATTTTAGGCTGGGTCGATCTGGAAGCTTAGGTCATTTAAAAAAAATAGTGCAGATTCAAATCCATGACCTTTGAGCCAGAAGGTAAGCAACTAGCCACTACACCACTGTGGCTCTAAATTAAGACGGATCAACTTCACAGTCTCCATGTGGGTTCTGGGGTCCTATTTTTAGGGAAACAAGAATAGACCCAGTGCCTCACAACAAGCATGCCGTAAAAGGCGATCAATTGGAGTTGTTTCCTTTGAAGTCAGAGTTCACATGCCTGAGAGGCAAGGAACCAAAAGCCTCTACACAAGTAAACCAGATCTACAAAATGGATGTGCACTCAAAACACAAAAGCAGGAGCAAGAACAAACTCCAAAAGTGCACGAAGAAACATAACGTTCTGCTGGCATTTACAGTCACAAAGAGGAGGACTTTGCAGCATTGTGTTTTATCCAACAAGGCTCAATCTTTGCAGAGCAGCTCAATGCCTTCACAGTGTGGCCCTAAGCACACACTTCATAGCACCAGAGATGATCCCATGGCATCTTCGCAAAAAAATTGACTCCTCGGCAATACAAAAAATAAAGTGTTTCATGTTTGGGCTAATTTTACACAGCTGCAGTCTAGCACATAGCGTATCAGTAGGCGACAAAGGTATTTCATTATTCTATACTCAGGCTTTTGAATCCATGCATTTGGCAACCTCATAAAATAATTACAAGACCCTATTTAGCAGCTGAAATTAACAAACTAAACTAAAATTATTTAAAAAAGTAACTAACTATTTTATTTACACATTTCATAATGTATCAATAAAGATAATAAAAACAATACCTGGCCAAAGAACATGCTTCTTCTTTCTCGCTAGCATCGACAACATGGCAGCGTCCAATCTAATCCATTGCAGATAAGAAATTAATACAATATTATCTCATCTCAATGTCTCATCACAAGTCAAAATATTAGGACACCGGTTTCTCCTTTGTCAGTTACTGGTACCATCGCAATTTTTAACTCTTTGCTTGCTGCTGAAGATGAGGACGGATCGCTTATGGGGGTGTCCCGAGTGCTGTAATGTCAATTCTTAATTCAAAATTATTTCTCCTTTGCACTATAAATAAAATTTCTGAAGAGAGGTCAAACAATTCACAGCTAATTTTGGGATGTAAAACATTTTTGTTTTTTTCTTTCTTACCATAAAAAGAGGATGTTATTAGCAATGCAAAGATTAAACAGCATTAAAAGTCTTTGGTTAAGCTCAACAAGGAAAGCAATCCAAATTTTGAGAGCATGCATCTTTCCTGTAGCAACATGCGGACCTGAGTCGCTGACTATCTGGCAGTCCTTAAGGAATAAAATAGGGACCTTCGAACTGAAATGCTATAGAAAGATACTCAGAATACCAAGGGCAAAGAAGATAATGAAATATTTTTGCCATATCATGGCGGATTAGAAACAAATAACTGCAGAAGGTATGGTATTAGGAAAGTGAGGCAGGGACTGACCAGCATAGAGAGGGACATAGGTAGGAAAGTACATGAGGTAGAAGAGCTGGCGAGAGAGTGAGTTTCTTTCAGGCAGACTGTGATAAGGGCAATGTTCTGCAAAGGACTGCTACAAGTCGATGATGAGCATGATTGTGTCATGCCATAACTAAATGATATCAGACAAATGATAGATGCAACTAATTTGGAAGATTCCACACGGATTATAGGATTTACCAAAGATACACAAACAAACAAACCTCATCCTCCTACTAAAACTACCTCATGGTTAACAGCTTCAGTTATGAGGGGCATTAAGAAAGCAATGCCTCATCTTTTTTCTTACAAACTGTGCAAAATGTATGAAATTCACTGACATTATTCTTCTTAGCGTTCATCAGCTGTAAAGTCTAGCAGAAAGTTCTGGTTGTTCATCCACTTCTAGTTTTTAGTCCTGTTCCAAAACTTAAAATGTGCATGCACAACTGTTTTACAGATCAGGCTTGCTTGTGTGCAGACTTCTGGTTCCTTACTCGGGTAGTAGTGTTCTGACTTTTGAGAAGAAAATCCTAATTAGCTGTCTTTTACAACATGCAATGGGTCTATTCTCAGCCCCCCCCCCCCCCCCCCCAAATGGGGCCACAGAACCCACACAGGAAACGGACAATACAACCCAATATGTTTTTATGAAAAAATTGTCTATAAAATCTCGATACACGTCTCATATGTATGCCCTGTTCAAGGCAATCTGTAATAAAGGCTTTATTGCAAATTTGGTGACGTCACTTCCACAATGGAAGAATATTTTGAATATAGTGGGTGGACAAGAAAAATATCTTGATTATAATGGGTGGACAATACAAATATTGCGAATTCACAAGAAAAATATGGTGAATATACTGGGTGGACAAGAAAAATATCTTGATTATAATGGGTGAACAATACAAATATTGCGAATTCACAAGAAAAATATGGTGAATATACTGGGTGGACAAGAAGAATACTGCAAATATCCTGGGTGGACAAGAAAAATGTTGGGAACATACTGGGCGGATAAGAAAAATACGGCGAATATACTGGGCGGACATGAAGAATATTGTGAATACACTTGGCTGACAATAAAAATATTCAGAATATACTGGGTGGACAATAAAAATATTTTGAATATCCTGCGCGGACAAGAAAAATATTACGAATACACTGTGTCTGCATCTGTGGCTTAGGCGTTGCACGCGCGCTTCGTAATGCCAGGTTCGATCCCAGCTGCGGGCATTGCACTGGTTTCGACAGTGGTATCGATAAGCCGACCGCCCAGAAAGCAATGGCAAACTACTGGATGTAAAATTTGCCCAGAAAAACCACAACAGCCAAAAAAAGATGCTGGAGCTGGTTCTGCGCTGTCCTGTAAAGGATAGGCAACTAACTTTTTTAACACTGGGTGGACAAGAAAATATTGCGAATCTACTGGGTGGACACGGAAAATATTGCAAACATACTGGGCGGACAAGGAGAATATTGCGAATATCCTGGGTGGACAAGGATAATATTGCTAATACCCTAGGTGGACAAGAAGAATACTGTAGATATCCTGTGTGGACAAGAATAATACTGTAGATATCCTGGGTGGACAAGAAGAATACTGTAGATATCCTGGGTGGACAAGAAGAATACTGTAGATATCCTGGGTGGACAAGAAGAATACTGTAGATATCCTGGGTGGACAAGAAGAATACTGTAGATATCCTGGGCGGACAAGAAGAATACTGTAGATATCCTGGGCGGACAAGAAGAATACTGTAGATATCCAGGGTAGACAACAAGAATACTGTAGATATCCAGGGTGGACAACAAGAATACTGTAGATATCCTGGGTGGACAACAAGAATACTGTAGATATCCTGGGTGGACAACAAGAATACTGTAGATATCCTGGGTGGACAACAAGAATACTGTAGATATCCTGGGTGGACAAGAAGAATAATGTAGATATCCTGTGTGGACAAGAAGAATACTGTAGATATCCAGGGTGGACAACAAGAATACTGTAGATATCCTGGGTGGACAAGAAGAATACTGTAGATATCCAGGGTGGACAAGAAGAATACTGTAGATATCCAGGGTGGACAACAAGAATACTGTAGATATCCTGGGTGGACAACAAGAATACTGTAGATATCCTGGGTGGACAAGAAGAATACTGTAGATATCCTGGGTGGACAAGAAGAATACTGTAGATATCCTGGGTGGACAAGAAGAATACTGTAGATATCCAGGGTAGACAACAAGAATACTGTAGATATCCTGGGTGGACAAGAAGAATACTGTAGATATCATGGGTGGACAAGAAGAATACTGTAGATATCCTGGGTGGACAACAAGAATACTGTAGATATCCTGGGTGGACAACAAGAATACTGTAGATATCCTGGGTGGACAACAAGAATACTGTAGATATCCAGGGTGGACAAGAAGAATAGGCTGGTTAAGTTCACTCACTAATTTTCAGTTGATTATGTGGATACATACTGGACATTCCCCAGCTAAAATGTAAGTAGTTGCTGTTGCACTTTCTACGCTGTTCTTTATCCCCCCCCCCCCCCCCCACACAATATTCTGAGCTGAAAACAGGACATTCTAAGTAAGTCAGTTCCCCCCTCCCCCTTTACCCTCTCCACACAAAAAAATTATAGAATGTATTATTACTATTTTTTTTTAAATTAAGGAATAAATATATTTTAAGAAAAAAATTATAGATATTATATAAGCCTATCAACTGTATAAGCCATACTAATTAATTAAAAGTTAATTAAAATGTGCGGCATTATTTTCTGAACATCCCTCGTATATATCTCCACAAATGGTTCTGGTTATGTACTTTGTCAACTTAAGAGGGCACACACTAAACACAGTAAGACAACTAGAGACAGGGTGAATAGAAGAAATGAAGTAGGTGGCAATGATGGCCTATGCTCCATTAGGGGAACAGGCAGAAGGAGAAAAAAGCTCTGTATCTTAATAAGACATGGAGCCTAATGTGACCAGTTTCTGAAATTACTGTGTGACATTACTTTCAAATCAAAGCAACGGCCATAGTGGATGAGAGACCAGCAAGAGAAAAAAAAAACTTATACAACCAACCCTAGCACTGAAAAGTGTTGCTATCATTCACAATTCCTGATAATCCCTTAAAAAAAAAACGCTTCCTGGACCCTATTTGTTGTAATGCAAATGGCCGAAGCTGAGTGGCACAAAGGCACAGGCTATGGATTCAAGAACTGCAATAAACTCAAGGATGTGTTACCTTGTTAACAGTTACAATAACTGGAGCCCCTGTCACATCAAGCCTTTTGAAATCAAAAGGATCATCAGAAACATCCAGTTCAATTCCTCCTTCATCTCTGGTCATTGTAACATTAGGAATTCTGGAATTTAAAAAAAAATTTATTTTAAATACACTGTCTTATTTTTTTTCTCTACAACAAAGTGCAAAACTACTTTCCTATTATCTTCTCAGAGTCAACACAGACTTCTGTTTTCAAAATGGCGGATAGCAGCGGGATTTATTTTCACTGGCTGTCAATTCTCTCGGATTATTCTGTTTCACAATCACAGACTGTTATTTAGTGCGCATTTTCAATGCAGAATACTATGTGTTTTTCACGGGAGCAGCGTGTACTGTGGTTGTGCTGTGTCGGGGCGGGATAATGACTGATAGTTTTGGCAGCCTCGGCCACGCTGCCTTCGCAATGTTTTGATCGCAGCGGTCCACTCAGGAAGACAGAATCTCGTCAGCAGGGGACTGCAACTGTCTATAGAGCAAACTCGATAAAAGCTGTCCCCAGAAACGGAATGTGTCAACCATATATTTGGTGGGGAGGAATCGACACATACGGTTAACTCAATGGCCACGGCCAGAGAGTGGCCTTGCTAGTCATATTTTTCAAAATCTTTGAATCTATTCTGACACAGATGATCTTTGATGCCATGTTAAACTGCTCTTCTCTCTCCCCCTCTAATTTTACCGCCGTCACAATGTACTCCAGTTTTCTTCTTCTCATGATACAAAAAAAATATATATAGACCGTCTCCCTGGAATATAGGCAATGGGTTCTCTTTGTGAGACAGTTTCTTTCACGACATCTTCATTACTCTTTTTATCTGTCCAGGGTATTATCATTCATCTACAAAACCACACCTCAGCCACTGTCCCAATTACTTTGATGCTGCATTTTGGAGTGTCCATTCTCTTTGTAATTACCGTTACTTCTGTTTTTATGCTGTTCAAACTAAGACCATTGTTTTGACTTTCTATTAAAATTACGCTCATCATTTCTTGCAGTTGTATTTCATTTTTAGCAATAAAAACTATTTCAGCACATCACAGGCTGTTCACAATATGCACACCAACCGATATTCCTACCCTACCATGTATGGATGAATTCATTATTCTGCTACACAAAACTGAATAAATCGGGTGATTGGATCACATCCTTGTCTAACCCCTTTTTAATGTCATTTATATAATAAATAATTGTTACTGTAGTATGCATCTGACGAGATAGAGCAAAATATGCTAGGCAATAAATTGTGCAGTCTAATGTTTGTGTCTTCTTTGTCCAGATTTATAGAATCTGCTTCAATGCAGATTCAAACCCAAGGTCTTTCAGGCCAGCTGGTAAGTGACTAACTGCTACACTACCGTGCCTCCCACATTTGTAAAAGATGCATATTGTAACCTTTAAACTTATACGAACATGGTTTTAAAAAATAAAAATTAAAAAAAAAAAAATGGCTGGGAATACTATAAAACTCACCAGCCAGTGACATAAACTATGTTCTTAAAATAACAATATGAAGAAAACTAAAGACCCTTACTGTAAATTAAAAAGTGCTGCCTTTACTCCAATAGATACTGCATCAAATAAGTTGCCTCCACACTCTAGCAACTGTGGAAGAAAAACATAAGAATTGTGTAATTGCTTACTGGCCACTTGTAGAACAAACAGAAATTGAAAGTTACTTCAATAGTGTTATTTGCATAACAAAATTAGACCCTAATGCAATTTACATAAAGGTGCCTTAATACTTCTTGACATTATTCTTAACGTTCACCAGCTGTAAACCCAAGTGCAACATTCTGGTTGTTTGTCCACTTCTGGACTTTGGTCTTGTTCCAAAACTTGAGTTTTGTGTGCACATCTGTTTTATATAGCTGGCTTATTTGTATGCAGACTGCTGGTTCCTTTTCTCTCAGGCAGATGCATTTCTACTTCGAAGGAAACACCCCTAATTAGTAACCCCCTATGACACGCTTGGAGGGGAAAAGCGGAGTCCAATCGTTTTTCTTCACCAAAAACCAAACAAGTTGTTTTTTTTTACATTCAACATAAGAGGAGGGAGCTGTCGTGGTCTAGCGGTTAAGACACTCGCCTCGGATGAGAAGGTGGTGGATTCAGTTCCTGACAAGACCGAACTTTCCTAAAAATGACCGTGGCTCTCAGGTCAACCCAGCCCTGAGTGGGTACCAGTGGGAAGTTAGTGTGGGCAGCGTGATGCTGACCACATCACCCACCAAATGCCGTTGGTCTTTAAAATAAAGGTAGCAAACCGGTCACCCCCATCTTTGCTCCGCTCCTGTGCCAATGAAAAACACACAGAATGTTTATCACAGTCCCATGTGGAAGGATTGACAGATTGCTGTCTCAGCATATCTAGCATACACTCGCATTAAAGCATACGGTAGCCATCCGAAGTGTTAACACATACAGTCCGACATTATAAACGCAGTTCATCATTGATGGTAGCAGAAGTCACCAACAAATCAGCAGTTCCCACGCGATCAATATTAATCACACTACCAACATTGTACGACAGGCATCGCGTCATTTTCTGAATCTACAATTCACACTACCACGTTAGTCACAGTCGAAAAAACATTCCAAATGAAATTCGCAGCTCAGTGTCACGCCATGCATTCAACTCAGATGCTGGGCGACGAAACTATATACAGTCTACAAATAAAGCAAAAATGCATCGGCCACCATCCGGCAGAAGCAAAAAATTTGCCTCGGCTTCGAACAGTGCCCCTGCCTAGCGTCCATTTTGACCCTCTTTCCAAAATATAGGTCTAGCCCTACATACCAAATATGCCTAAAAGGTGTGGAGAATGGTCCTTTACTTAGATAAGAGGAACTTTTTATCATGAATATTCTTACCCTTCTCAATATCTCATTAAAACTTTATCTTTTCTAACTGATTTATTAAGCAAGTACAAAGTAAATAGCCACATACCAGAATATCAACATACAACAACCAACACTGCTGACCAGGAAGAACACACAATGATGTGAAATCAATGACACCTGGTGAATTGTAGGCTCTTGACAGCATTGCAGTGATCTCTGAAGCTAACTCCTCCCCGCCTCGTCCTTCAAAGGCCGGTGTTGCATTTGCTGAACTATGAAAAACAGAAGAGAAATTAACCTGGTAAATAGATTTTCCGATAAAAGTAGTTTGTTCTCTATAAATTTAAAGTGTAGGCCAGTGATCCCCAAACTTCGCGCCGCCCCTGTGAAGAGATCACGGTTCCCCGGGGAGCCGCGACCTCTCCACAGGGGCGCCGTGAAATATTGTAAAAGCTTCACAATTAATTTAACCAAGACACGAATAGTCATACTTTTACTTGGGTTAGGGCGCCGAGAAATATTGTAAAAGCTTCATAATTAAATTAACCAAGACACGAATAGTCAAACTTTTACTTAGGTAAAGGCGCCGCGAAATATTGTAAAAGCTTCACAATTAATTTAACCAAGACACGAATAGTCATACTTTTACTTAGGTTAGGGCGCCGTGGAAAAATGTTAATTGAAAAAATGGGCCGCGACCAAGACAAGTTTGGGAAACACTGGTGTAGGCTGTCTCCATAATGAAGGCTGGCTGCAGCGTACCCATTGCTGTCTCTGGGACTATTATGTGGTGAGGCTTAAATCTCTTCCCCAGTGCAACCCTCGTAGCATTAAACAAAACATAAATGCAGTTTGAATATTTGTGACAGCAGTTTGCCATGGCATGGAGGGGTGTCAACACAAAAACTGAAATATGCTGTTGAAGATCTTAGAAAGGCATGATTGCCCACACTCATCGGCAAGGCACTTAATAATGATGATCTGAATCTAACCCCCCCACCCCTTTTTGCCACACTTAAAACAGATTTTAAAAAAAAGTAATTATATAACAACCATAAAAGTTCGACCATCTAATATTAGGGCACCTAGACCCACTTTGCCTGCCTTTTAGATACCATACCTATCAAGACAATAGAAATCAGTTAATGTCAATAGATTTGTAATTTAATGGTATCTGGCTCTGATCCATGTCTGACGTCATCACCTTTTAATTATTTTTAAGCCAAGTCTAATGATTAAAATAAAATGGGTGAAGAAATTAACATCCAAATCAGTAAAGCAAACCAAGTATTGCGACAGCTCTTACAGTACAAGACAATCTCATTCAGAATAAAGAAACATTTCAGACAAAGCATATTCATTCCTATCCTGCACTACCAGTGCATGACATGGTTACTCACAACAAACTAGAAAAGAAAATTAGTAACCAGAGAAATGAGATATCTGAGTGACCAAAAGAGAGAAAACTATGAATTAAGGAAAAAGAGAAAAAGGCACAGAACCAATTCTCAATTACACACTAAGACAGCAAATAAAATGGCTTGCCTACTCAGAAAGAAGGCCTTGTGATGCCATACAAGACATATAACAAAATTAGAGACAGACAAAAAGCAAGAGGCTGACAAAGAAACAAGATGGAAAGATAATATCAGAGAAACTTGACATATCTATGGTCAAGGTAGCCAGAAGAACCAGAACCTTATATCTACCTTGACAGCTGAAATAGTACAAGAGGAAGTGAAGCAGACGATTTGATAATTTACAAACATTCTTTACATCAAAATTTCACAATGAAGGAATCTCTCCATCACTAAATCTTTGACAGTATTGTTAGCAAGAATGTCAAAGCTGTAGCATGTAATATCAAATATTACTGTGGCTGTCTGATACAAAAATGACTTACTTACCAGTCAAGAAAGAAATCAAGTCGACCAACTTCTGGTTTCTTAGGGTTGACCGGGGTCAGCTGAACTTTAACTCCAACCAAAACATCTGTGCTTGCCTAAAGACAGAAAATATTGTAAGCTATTCATATATAAGTGGTCATATGGTTTTGTTTTTTTAATCAGTTACTGGAGCCCATAAAAGAATACACTAGAACTACCATGCATGTCTCAAGAAGTGAGTAAGGAGGGTTGGCATGAGGCATATCCTGTTTGAAAAAAAAAAAAGTTTATTTATACCAAACCAGTCATGAAATACTCTAAAGGATTGGCTCGAGCTGGTTGAAAGCCATGTTAAATTTGGAGTTAAATGGTAGCAGAATGAATAAATGAGTTAACAGTTGAAGACATTCCCATGTAACCCACATGGCCAGTCTACTGGTAAGACATCGACCTGGCTGCATTTAAATACTAAGCTAAGTGATTTTGTGCATTTGTGTGGTATTGTTTGATTTAAGTATGCACTGATGAAGGCTTTATAGCCGCAACGTTCATATTTTGTTTGTGTTTGTTATATTGTGAAGCTTGAGGATACACTTTTCGTTCGGTTTTATATATTTTCTTCATTTAACACATACTGCCATGGACTAGTTCACTTCTTTTTCACCTTTTCTTTCAAGGCAATTCACAGAAAATTAAAGGTAAACAAAAAACATCAAAATTGAGTGTTAGATCAGACAGTCTGACAGAAAGGGTGGTAATGGTGTCCCAGAAACTTGACAGGTTATGGGAAAAGGACAGAAAAGAAGATAACAAAAGAACAGAAAAGAAAATAACAGTAACAGTTCAAGCAATCGTCTGTAGCAAGTAATGTTACATCTTAAATAAAAGATATTCTTATCCACTAGGTTACTGAATTAGTAAATGGGCAAATAGCTCTCTTTCAAGTCACAATTTATCTTCAGAAAAATCAGATTACTTTGTACACCTTGGCTGACCCATACAATACCTAGTGGTTGACAAGGAAGCACAAGGAAGGTGTTCTGAATGAGCTAGAATAAAAGATAACTAGACGAAACTACTTTATTCGCTTGGAGGTAGAGGGGGGATCCTTCTAAAGAAGCAAAGAACAGTAACAATGTAACACATCATACATGTCATAAGAGGCAAGTGAGAGGGATCAGCAGGAAATTTGCTATCTCATGCCGTAGATACTTTAGCTGCAAAATCCCAATCTGGCGAGTACCTAGGAAGTGTTTGGCATGAGTTGGCTGAGGGTGTATGCTGCACTGGACAATGAAAACAGAAGTAGTAACAAGAACTTTATTTCATCCAGTTTCCAAAATGAGCAGATGGCAAACCTAGATTTCTATAATATAATACCTAGGTAAAAATGAATATTGGGTAAAAGAGCTTAATTTAAAAACAAAAACAAACTAAATTATCATGACTCGCTGAGAGACAATCCAAAGTAATTTAATTTCACTTACCAATCTTACACGAGCGGATCCATTCGTGTTTGATATAAGGCCAGTCTCTACTTCCATATGACGGAAATCTTCACACCCCCGACCATCTTCACGAAAGTTGTCCTGTAATTGTTTTCATATAAATTATGGAATGTTTCTGGAGAACAATTTTTGTCGTCTCATAATTTGATTTGGTTCAAGAACTGATATCACAGCCCTCGGGGCATTCCCATAAGCGCTCAGTCCCTATCTTCAGCAGCCAGCGAAGAGTTCCGATACTAATGGTGTCAGTAGCATTCTAATTAAACATCTGTCTTGCCTTTTCTCTGAGCCTCGAGCTTCTGCCAGAACCTCTCGTCACTCCACTGCATCAATCTCACCAGACTGTGGTGATCCATCTGCTCCTCTGAACTGTACCTGCTCTCACACAAGGCACTAATCATGTCTGCCTTATCATGTATCAGTATTTCACCAAGTTGTGCAGAGCCAGCCAGTATGTCCGCCTGTTCATTTCCCGACACACCTGCGTGACCTGGTGAAAAAATCCAGACAATACTCCTCACTCATGTCCTCTACAGCGAAGCATGCCACTCTGCACGAAGCATACCTGTTCTGATCTTCCTCAGCATGCTTTCTGAGTCAGTTACAATCACGATGTGTGTGTGTGTGTCGTGTTCTCTAGCCAGCGGAAAGCTGCAATGACCGCCTCCACCTCCATTCTTAAGCTGGATGTTATGGTATCATATGCTAGGCTCTCCTGCACCAAACATCGACCATTAACTTTTGCTAAAAAGCCCCAAGCACTTTTTTTGCCTCTTGACTTTACTGTCTCAAACATGAGCATAGCCTAAAACATGTATAACACTAATACTACTATACTTCAGCTTATAATTAAAAATCAGTCAAACCTGAATGAGGTACAGTTAGCTGTCAAACCTGAATGAGGTACAGTTAGCTGTCAAACCTGAATGAGGTACAGTTAGCTGGATTTAACTGTTTAATATTAACATTTTAATTTAAACAAAAATATGCAGTAAATTTTCTTTTGAAATGTAACAAAATTAAGTGATAAAACTCTGCATTTAGAGTGGCTATAGACTTAAATTTTGTAAAATGATGAGGAACCTTCGATTACACATTAAAAAAAAATCTGTTTACCTCATGGATTATTTTATTAATTTATTTATATTTCTAACAATTTGAAAACATTTACTACTGAACTAGTAATTAATTGAATTCACTGGATTGCAACACCTTTTTTAAATTAATTGTTATTATTGTTTATTTTTAGAAAAGCATATAATGAATGTTTGTTATAATTCTAATCTTAAATCATTATGAGTGTAATTTACAATTATCGTTATCAAACTATCTGTAATCACCCCAGTCCTCTGTCAGTCAGTGACTGTTGGATGTTGTCTTCCCAGCGGACCCTGGAGATCTTTTTTCCTGGATCTTAGCCTCCCATGGTAGCAGATTTTCTCCCATTCTGCATATATTCCCAAACCATCATAACTGTGACTGACCCTTCAAGTTTGTGAGGCCTGGATATCAAGATCTTGACGTATTGTCCAATTGTGAACTTTGTCCTGTCTTGTCAGTTGAACCAACTTTCTTCTGATATCTCATTTCTTAGGCCTGAAGCTGGCTTCTGTGAGCTGTTTTCCTTGCCCAGGACTCACACCTGTTGGTCAGGACTTATAGATAGAGCAGTAAACGGCCATTTTCCCCCTTCCTATCAATTTCTTTTTTGCTAAAAAATCCTCGCATAAATGGCATGGACAAGTTTCTCAGTAGCTGCTTTTCGAGTAGCTAGCTCTGTCTTAATGCCTCCATTTGGCCCATTGTTACAACTCCAAGGTATCTGAACTGGTTGAACTGCTCCAGTACTGTTCCATCATGATTTGGGATTTCTTCTCCTCTTTTGAGATCACCATGATTTTAGTTTTGGAGATACTGATGGACATCCCTTTCTTCTTCCACTGCTCTTCCTTAACTTAACACTGATAGACAATAAAGTTGCATTGAAGATATGCCTCTAATTTAAATACCATGGCCACAGAGTCTGCAAATGCCAGCCCTGATTGATATTATTCAGACTGGTCTCATCTTCCAGTTCAGTACCTGTGTATCCTGCTGCATACTTCTTTGTCTTTTGATGTCTCCTTACAGGTCTTGATGACATCATCCATCATAAGATTGAAGAGGTAAGCTAAGAGAATATCACCTTGGCTTGTCTAAAAGTAACACCGCTAGTAGTTGTCTTATATTCTTCTGACTTTTGTTGAGCTGTTCCTACAAACTAATTTCAGCAGCTTTTGTAGAAACACTTCTTCTTCTTCACTTTCCTCTTTTACCGCTGTGGGTGTCGAGGGAGATATAAGGTTCTGTTTCTAGCTCTTCTGGCTGCCTCAACCATAGGCACATCGTGCTGTTGTAGAGTTTCTCTGATGTTATCCTTCCATATTGTTCTTGGTCTACCTCTTGCTCTACGTCCTCCTTCTCTTTCCATGTATGCTTTGTATGGTATGGTGTCACAAGGCATTCTCTCTAGTGGGCAAACCATTTCACTTGCTGTCTTCGTATGTAATCCAGAATTGGTTCTGTGCCGACTTTTTCTCTTATGATCCCATTCCTGATCTTATCTCTTATGGTCACTCCTACAGCCCTTCTCAGACATCTCATTTCCGTGGTTACTAATTTTCTTTTATGGTTTGTTGTGAGTGACCATGTCTGGCACTGGTAGCACAGAGTTGGAATAAATATGCTTTGAATAAGATGTCTCTTTGTGCTGATTGGGATTGTCTTATGCTGTAAGAGGGGGTGGGGGGGGGTGGGTGGGGGGCTCTAGCTGTCCCAATTCCAATACTTGTAGAAACACTGAATACTTTACATTACTACTGTCAGACTTCTCAGTCTCTGCTCAAGAATTCTAGAGTAACTTTAACCAGGAACGCTGAGGAGAGATATAAATTACAATAAAACTGATAGTATTAATTATTATTTATATTTTAAAGTTACCTGAATCCCGTGTAGAATGAAAGTCTTCTCTGCCTCGCTTAAATCCACATCTGCCATTTCAAGCGGTCTGTATTCTATATACGTTAAAATAGGCTACAATTAGTATTTTAAAACCAAGACTGAAATCGTGATTCCTTTGAAATCGCTAGTTATTCTATAGAATTTACCGACGTCTGATTCTGTCTCTTCAAATTGCTATCTCTAGACATCCACAAAACAACAACATTCACTTTACAAACGACATGCTGGAAATACAAATTGTAGGCAGGGTTGCCAGATAAAAAACTTAATTTTATGCCAGATCATTACCCAAAATATACCAGAAATGCCAAATAAAGTGTAACATTGTATTTGCTTCACATCAAAAGCTCTAGATTGAATTCTTCACTGTCATCCTCACTGGAACAAGTGGAAGATACAGCGTAAATATTTTCGGATTTAAAATCTTTAAGCATTTTCTCAGATGGGATGAAGTCTTTGCAACTTTACTATACCGATGTCACATTTCTTGTTCCGAAAATCATCAATAAGGTCATCCTTAAGTGCAGGCGATATAATATTTTTTATTAGGCATGAACATTTAGTTATATGCAACTGTATGTGCTCCAGTGTGCTTCTTCGACCATGCGCTCTCATGATTTCACTTAGATGATCAATTGTGCGTATTGCACAATGGCAGGTCATGCCTACAGCAAGTTTCTAGCTCTGCTTCCTTTAACTTTATCATAACTTTGCCTAGGAGTCATTGTTATAATAAGCTGTGACTGGCTTTTTGACAGGAGTTTTCATCTTGTGTTTTTCGGATTTTTCATGATTTGATATGCTACTAATTCTTGGTTCTACAGTGCACTAACACAGTTTACAATAAGCTGCATCTGATCGGTCTGAAGATTTTTTTTGAGCCGTGGGTATGTTTTCTTCCAGTTGCTATTATACTTGCGATGTCACAAGATGCTTTTTATTTTTTTTTTTTTTTGGGGATGACGTGGCCATTGGTAAAAGTAATAAAATCTATCACAGATAGAACTAGGTCTATATCCTCTCTATTTTCTGTCCGGGTGCCGCGTTAGCATAGTCGATAGGATGCTCGCTTTCAAATCCAGCTGCGACTCGCTGCAGCCACGGTGGGTGTTCGAAACCGGGTGGTTCCAGGGGTTCACCCAGCCTCTAGGAAATATGTACCAGAGTTGACACTCTGGGGTGAACGGAGAAACGTCGCGGTAGCTACGGAGTTACGTGCGAACAGCGACACAGTCGGATAGTTTCTTATCAGCTGTCCGTACTGGTGGCAGAGCACTTATGGTTTATAACTGTATGCAATGACGTTGGTTCACATCTCCCGACTTTACCTTTTACCTTTTAATTTTTTGCCCTCAAGAAGTTTCTGAACAGTCTGAATCAGAATCACTTGGTATTAGTGGTGGGTTTTGCTTTTATATCCCAAATTTATTCTAGTAGATTAACATAAATAACAGAGGGCCTTGGTTTATCGAAGTCACGATCCGTTTAGGAAGACAATAAATACAATAAGAAATGGTGCGAATCTTTGTTAGTTCGTACCAGGACATCACAACAATGTCAAACTGAAAAAAAGATGTTAACTGCAAGTCTACATTGCTTTTAGTAAATCTGCGTGTTTCTAACGGAGGAACCATGAAGCAAATGTGAGGACATCTTGGTAAGAAATGCCAGGAAAAACCAAAATATGCCAAAATATACCAGTTCATTATCTTATGCCAGTTCAGTTTCAAATATGCCAGATTTGATGAATCTGGCATAAAAAATGCCAATATGGCAACCCTGATTGTAGGTAGGAAAGATAAAAAGTAAACAAGGAAACGGAATAATTAAGCATGGGAGCTAAATTGCAATATACTTCCAGGGAGTTCGTTGCATGCAAAATTTATTAACTCATTTCAGCGGTCGAATGATAGTTCACTTTGTTACCTCCGGATTACTTTCCATACTTTCCCGAGATTTGTAAAAATCTCAGTTTTGGACAGCAGACCTTCTTTTTCTTCTTCTTCTTCTTCTTCTTCTTCTTCTTCTTCTTCTTCTTCTTCTTCTTCTTCTTCTTCTTCTTCTTCTTCTTCTTCTTCTTCTTCTTCTTTTTCTTATTCTTCTTATTCTTCTTATTCTTCTTCGCCTTTACCGTCTGTAAACTGCGGCGGTAAGTTCTAGTTCTACGTCCAAGTCTGGACTTTAGTCTTGTTCAGTTACTTGAGTTTTGCGTGCACATCCGTTTTACTGATCTAGCTTATTTGTAAACAGGCTTGGTTCCCCAATCCTAATTAGTCGACTTTTTCGACATGCTTGGCCCAAAATGGGGCTTCGGAACCCACAGGACAACAGACCCCGTTTAAACTTGTAAAAACGTTACAATAGGGCACCCGAAGCGGCTACACCAGCCAAGTAAAACCGACAGGGCTGCCAAATGGATTTTTTGTAAAAACCCAAGATGATGTTAACAAAAACCCAAGATATAAACACGCAAAAAAAAAAAAAAAACTATTTTGTAAAATTGTTTTTATAGTATTTAACTGAACATACACACACCTTTATGTTAACAGCTCTTCTTCGACAATTTCACTTGTCACCGTCCTTTTTTGCTTTTCGGTGCAAACATTACTTACTCTTTGCTATACGTTCACTTTCTGTAGAGGTTTCTTTTTAAAAAAATCGAATAGTATTTGAACTTGCGTTAGCAGCCTTGAAATTTCTTAAATGTTCAACAGAATTAATATGTTTTGGTTGCTTGGAATTATTTGCATTTCTGAGAGTCACTTTACAACATTTACAGTAACTGGAGTCCTTATCACTGTTGTCCAGTTTTAACCAATCTTTAAATTCCGCCCCAGTAACCCATTTTGAAATACTGAACATACCATATTCGATTCTTTGGTGGCGTCATTTGTTTATTCATTTTCACAAACTTACCCATTTTCGGTGCAATTAACTTAATGGTGGTAGGGGTCTCAGGTTCTTGAGTGTTCCCCCCCCCCCCCCCGCCTTTTCAGCTTCTTTTCAAATCTTCTTTTTCTTCGTGTTCACCGACTATAATCTTGGGAGGAAAGTTATGGTTGTTCGTCCATGTCTTGTTCAAGAATTTGACTTTTACTTGCACGCCCGTTTTACATATCTGGAGTATTTGTATTCAAACTGTTGGTTCCTTGCCTTTGAGGCGGATACACTCCTAGAAAACTCCTAATTAGTCGACTCCTGCAACATGGTTGCTACGGAGGCAGTGGGTTTTTTCTCCCCCATCCCCGACACACCCACACTGGGACCCAAGAATCCACACGAGGAAGACATGCACAGTATTTAAATTATCTCATAAAGTATTTGCCATCATCATCATAAACCACTTCTGCCGTTAAGCGTGGTGGGGAGGAATAATTTGCGATCCATTGCACGTTGTTTGCCACTGGCTATTGTTTTGCCGTGAAGGCGTAGAGTGTCTTTAATGTTGTCGATCCATGTTTTCCGCGACCGTCCTCTTGCTCTTGTAGCTGATCTTCGGAGATATAGTGCTTGTGATGGTATTTGATCTTGCGGCATTCTAACAAGATGGCCAAACCATTTGATCTGCTGTTTCTCGATGAATCTAGTACAAGGTGTCGTCCCCACAATTTGCCTGATAGTTTCATTATTCACTCGATCTCGGATTGTTAGGTTGGCTGCTTTTCTCGGGCACCTCATTTCGCATGTGGTGATTTTGCGTATATGGGCTTTAGATAGTGTCCATGTTTGGCACTGGTAGCTTAATGTTGGAATGAACATGCTATTAATAATCTGTCTCTTTTGCACTCATAGTTATGCTTGGATGTCTTAATAATGGTGACAGTTGGTATATAAGTGCACTTGCTTTGTGGCATCTGGTTACTATTTCTCTGACAATTCTACCATCTTCTGTGATCATACTTCCTAGATATTTAAACTCCCTAACTTGATTCAGAGCAGAACCATTCAGCTGTATGTGTAGTGGGGCAGGGGTTCTACTAACTTGTATTGTTTTGGTTTTGTTAACATTGATTTTCATGTTGCATTTACTGCATGCTGAGTTTAACCTGGTAATGTGGTCTTGCAGTCTAACTTGTTCAAGGTTGAACAAGCACTGGTCGTCAGCAAATAGTAATTCGTTTAATGTGGGTGAATCGATAACTTTTCCTGATGTGTGTTCTTCCTCGTGATTATAAAGGTTTATGTTGTCTGTATCAGAACTCGCTTCTTTAGATATTCTGCCTATATAGATGTTAAATAAAAGCGGGAAGAGCACACATCCCTGGCTCACACCTGTGTTGACTGTGAACATATCTGATAAGCCTTCTTGTGTTCTTTTTGCACTTTGGCTTGTGTGGTACATGGCTTTGATGTTCTCTAGTAACTGTCCTTGTACCCTGTAGTTCTCAAGAATAGACCACAGTTTGTTTCTTTCCACTGTATCAAAAGCCTTTTCCTGATCTACAAACACAATATTCTGATTGGTATTATACTCAATGACTTTCTCACGCACTTGCCTCAGAGTGAATAATGCATCTGTGCATATTCTGGCTTTTCTGAAACTGAATTGTGATGCACTCAGCTGTTGTTCAGCTATGGGTCTAACTCTCTGTTTTAGTAATTTGGCGTACATTTTTCCTACGTGACTCAGTAGTGATATATATACTTCTGAATGCTTCACATTCTCTCATATTACCTTTCTTTTTCCATAATGGCACTATTAGTGCCTGTTGCCACTCAGCTGGGACTTTTCTTTCTTCACAAGCTATATTAAAAATTATAGTAAGCCATTCTCCACATGCTTGGATCCCTTCTGTATTAATTCCATCCAGACCTGGTGCCTTGTTTCTGATGCTGTTCTGTATAACTGCTCTAACTTCCGCTGCTATGAAATTTGGTTCCTCTTTTTCGCAGCTTTGAGGTGTACCTCAAAGTATTTGTACATTTCATATTATTACAAAAAGTCTATTTAAAAACTTTACACGCGCGCGCGTGTGTGAGGGGGAGGGGATGGCTATTAAAATGAGGGAGGTGGCGGGAGGGGGGGGGGGTCAGTG